GCCAGGTCCGGGAGGGGCCAGCCCCCAAAGATGAAAGTCGCGACTTGCCCTGCCCCGCCCTAAAGGCTTACCGAGTAGTGTGCTGGGACTTGACCCGCCTCCCCAGGTCAACATGTCACAACACGACCTCGGCCTGTCAAGTCACATGACCTCTGCCTGTCACTGACAACCTGGTTGTGTCTTTGAGCCAGGAGAGAGCATCTGACCCACTCACCCCCAGTCCCATTTACAGAAGGGGAAATGCAGGTCTGGAGCAACGGAGGAGGCCCGGCCAAGGACCTGTCACTGTCACACCATCACCTATACCTTCCAGCCAGCCACATTGGCCTCTGACAGTTTCTACTTAAAGTCTGGCTGACCCTATGAGGCTATGACAGGATGTGTAACAGGCGACCACATGGCTTCTGTTTTCTACCTCATGGCACAAGAAAAACACTGCATTGTGCCTGGTGCTTTTCACTTTAGTTCAAGCTGTTTCCAAGTTCATATTTCTCTCATTTTACCTTCACAACTCATTTTTTATTTACAAACAGGAACGGCGGCTGGCCTAGGATCCCTGAGCAAGTGAGAGGCAGCTGAAGCTAGAACCTGGGCTCCTGACAACCTAGTCCAAGGCAGTCGCGTGTTCAAGCGCACTCAATGTCCCGGGCAACAAGGCGCTACTGTAGCCCAAACACCTAGGAGGCAGAAGGCCTGTGCCCAGTTGCTCACAGCAGGGAGTCACCGGACTTGCTGTCTGGTACAGTGAAAAGGACGGGTCTTGGTCTTTGGTGAAGGGCACCAGAGCACCAAGAGGGGAGATGAGTGGGAAAACAAATCCCGTCCACAGGGTAAAGAACATGAATTCTGGCATGCGGAGGGCATGCTTATTAGAAACTTCACAAAGATAAAAGGTAAGCATGCTCTTCTGAAAGGAGCTGGAAATGACTATCAAGAGGATTCAAGCACATCGGCCCCTTTTGGGGGAGTTAGGGGGCTAAAAGCTTAGACTCTAAGAAGACTCAAGAAAATGTAGACAATCCTATCGGATGGATGCAAACTTTCTAAGGCGAAGGTTTAAAAGGCCTTGTGAGGATTAGTTGGAAGGGGGGGGAAAGAAAATGGGAGTCCCTTATGGAGGAGATAAAACGGGGGCTACTGCCAGGTGGGCGGACCAAGAACTCCTGAGGAAGACAAGATACAGTGAGGTTTCACTCGGCAACCTAAGGGCAGCCACAGTTGATAGCCGTTGGGGCCGTTGGGTGCCGGGAGCTAGCGCCCCGCCCTCTCTCCTCTCCCCTACCCATCCTCCCCACGCACCGCCCACCACCCTCGTAGTCCCCTGCGCGTGCGCGCGCAGACACCGGTTGCCAAACATTGCATCATCCCCGCCCCCCTTTCCTACCCTCCTCCTCCAGCTCTCCCCTCCGCGCGCGCGCATGACTCACTCACCTCCTCTGCGAAGCCTCGTGACCCAAAGCCACTTCCGGGTCCAACAAGACGTCGACTCCCAAGAGGGAGTGAAGGGGGTGGTGCCACGGGGCTTCTGAGTGGCGGATGTAAGAGATGAGGCGGGGTCAACCCCGGCGTGCCACTTTCTGATTGGCAAGCTGCTGGAGCCGCCCCTTAGAGGAGGGTAAAGCCATGTTAAAAGATCACTGCTCCCGAAGATCGAGGTCAGAGGCTTGAGTCTAAAGCATAGAGCTTATCATGTTGAAGATGACTGGGTGGCAGCGACAGAGCCAAAATCAGAGCCGCAAGCTAAGGAGAGAGGTGAGTACTGACCCTCCCCATCTACCTTTTACCCTTCCATCCTCGCGAACACCAGTTGTCCCCTCGAAGTTGTGGCACCCAGTCTTTAGGTTGTGGTCCCACCCCTTCCATAATGAAGTTAGTGACGGTCCGAGGAAGGAATGGGCAGAAGCTTTTATTCGGGAGCGGTGCTTACTGACCCCTCTTACTTCGGACGACAGCGTCACCCAACGCCTGCTTGGAGCATGGGCCTTGCTCTGTGATGTTGGGTGAAGGGGCTCACCTACCCTCGGAAGATTATTCCATTTTCTCCGGTTGCTAACCCCAGGCCTCCACGTTAGGCTTGTCCGGTGGGAGGCGGGGCAGCAGGACACACCCACACGCCGAGAAGCCTGGGTGACCGTAGCTTAGGCTACTGCCTCCGCTTTGCCACCAGCAGCTCCACCCCGATCCTATATCTGAGGCAGTGTCTCAGGGCCAGCATGGCTACGTCGGTAGCCGGGGCTCCTGAACCCTACACAGAACAGCCATTCCACACCCTAGTAGAGGACTGAAACTTCAGGAGACTTAACAGCCTCTGGGAGGAGGGGTGCTGATGGACAGGGAGCAGAGATGGGATTTTCCCTTTCTTCCAGAGGTCCCTGGGCTTCCTGCACAAGAGAGCATCCTGGATCTTTTAAGTGTGGGAAGTCATTTGGGGTCTCCCCATTGTCCTTCCCTTGGGATTGGTCCCTGCTTCTTTCCCCCTGTCCTGTCTCCAACTAATCTCTGTAACCATTGCATCAGGCCAGCCCCCTGTTTGGCTCTGCAGCCCTCTGGTGTGGAGTTCTACTCTACTGCTGATGAAAGCCACATCCCAGGCACTGGAAGGCAAGGAGGGTTCCCCAGGGAGGACAGCCCTACAGAGAAACACTAAGGGTGATATTGCATCTACAGTCCCTAGGGATAGGTAGCTGCTGCTAGGCTTCTGGGATTCATCCTCCCTTTCCTATAAGAGAGATTAGGGAGAATATCCAGTCATTCCTAACAAACACTGAACGAATGCCTATATGCTAATTGGGGCACAGGATACATCCATGAAGAAGAGAAAAACAATCTGCTCTTTCAGAGCTTACAGTTCAATGGGAAGAGACATACGGTAAACAAACAGTTGAATGCCATAGAGAAAACTAAAGCATAGAAGGGTAGAGAATGCTCAGGGTGGGGATTATGGTTTTATATTGGATAGTCATGAATTTCCTGAGATGACAGATAAGTTGAGAAGTGAAGACAGTAAGCCATGCAGATATGTGGAAGAGATTTCCAGGAGAAGGATCAGCAAGAACAGAGGTCTTAAGGTAGGAGCATGCATAGTATCTTTAGGTAACAGGAAGCAGCCAGGTGGCTGAACTAGAGTGACCAAGAGAGAAAGTGGTCAATGAGAAATCCCGGGCAGGGAAGAAGCACACTGTGTATGGCCTTCTAAGCCATTTTAAGAACTTTAACTTTTAATATGCATGAAATTGGAAGTCACTGGAGGATTTTGAACAGAGAAATGAGGTGACTTGAATTAAGTTTTAAAAGGCCCACTCTGGTTACTATGTTGTAAATAGAGTCAGGAAGGGGTAGCAAGAGCAGAAACCTGCAGTCAAGAGGTTTCTCCAGTCATCCAAGAGGTAATAACTTGATCTAGATTGGAAACAATGGAATCCGTGAGAAATGTTTAGATTCTGGGTTACTGAAGAATGAGTTAAGAAATATTGCTGGTGGTTTAGATTGAATTGTAGGGTTTGAAAGGAGAGGAATTGATGATGCCAAGGTTTCTGGCATAAGCAACTAGAGTTGCCATTTACCAAGATGGAGACCTCGGAAGAGGAAAATTAACAGGAGATCTTCTTTGAACATATTAAGTGTGAGATGCCTATTAGACATCCAAAAGGAGATGGTGTGTAAGCAGATAATAGAGTTCCACTCTGGCAATGTATATTTGGAGGATGTCAGTGTGGGAATGTAATTACGAAAATGCCACTTGATTTGTTCCCTTCTCTGTAGTCTAGTCCTTACGGTAGCAGGTTTGAGGCCTGCCTTGAATTTAGAGAAAGCTGAGTTGGCCAGGACTTTCCTATTATGTAACCAGGACCACAAATGTCAGCAACTAAAAATAAAGGAAACTAAGCTCTCCTCTGTCCTTGGAAATGGCTACAGGGACTTTTAACTAGCCATACTCTACAAGACAAGAAGGAAGGACCAATAGGAGGCTAGAGATAAAAGAACCTACCTCTCTTCCAAAAATGGCTAACATTTCTCTTTGATCCCCACAGTGTTCCAGAAGGAAGTGTATCTTCATACATCACCACACCTGAAAGCAGGTAAACTTAACCAACACTTCCCCAAAACCATCTCCTAAGAAATGCTGCTTAGGCTTCCTTCATTGGGACCCTACAAAGTTATGAAAATGCCTAGAGAAGATGGGAAAGGAGGGTTTGAATCTGAGCAAGCTTTTGCTGTCAGACCATGTCCATCCACCTGGCCTGTCCCTAACAAGGTGACAAAAATCACTATTCTTAGAGCATGTCCTAATTGAAAGCTGCCTCTAAGTAAGCAGTCAGCCCCAACAAAGATAACTGGTTTGTCTTACACACTTCAGTCTCCAACAAGGTTAGACTAACCCATAGGACTTCTCACACAGGAGAAAGCAGCACAAATAGTCTGGTAATTGCCCCTGGAAACTACCAATCGAGTTCCCCAGGGCAGCTTTTACTAGGATCCCATAAGAACATTTGTTTGACGTGCTGGGCAAAAGCAAGGAGAGAATATTAATATAAACCAGAGGATGATAAATTTTAAGGGGCCAGATAGTACTTTAGATATTGAGGGCCAGTTTTTCTCAGAGCTATTCATCTCCACTGTTGTAGCATTAAAGCAGCCAGAAACAATATGTAAATTAATGGATGTGGTTGTGTTCCAATAAAACTGTATCTGCAAACCATGCAGCAAGCCTGTGATTTAGACTGTTTGACTGCTTTGAGGTGCTATTCGACCCCCCGCCCCGCTACTATTCCAAGTATGTCCTTTTCCAGAGCCTGATCCAGCTGCAGCAATGGCAGCCGAGTCTCTGCATTTCTCCTTCGGGACATTGTCCAGCTGGGAGCTAGAAGCCTGGTATGAGGACCTGCAGGAGGTACTGTCCTCAGATGAAAATGGGGGTACCTATGGCTCACCCCCTGGAAATGAGGAGGTGAGAATACTACATCTAAAGCTAGGGGGGAATGTTGATCTTCCCTTCTCTACTAATAGCACTTACTTTTCCTCATTCCCTTGAAGGAAGAATCAAAAACCTTCACCACTCTTGACCCCGCCTCTCTGGCTTGGCTTACGGAGGAGCCAGGACCAGCAGAGGTCACGAGCACCTCCCAGAGCCCTCGCTCTCCAGATTCCAGTCAGAGCTCCCTTGCTCAGGAGGAAGAAGAGGAAGACCAAGGAATACCCAGGAAACGGAAATGGAGTGGCCAGTCTCCAGCCCGAGCTGGAAAGCAACGCATGAAAGAGAAAGAACAAGAGAATGAAAGGAAAGTGGCACAGCTAGCTGAAGAGAATGAACGGCTCAAGCAGGAAATTGAACGCCTGACCAAGGAAGTGGAGGCAACTCGCCGAGCTCTAATTGACCGAATGGTCAATCTGCACCAAGCATGAACACTTGGGACCGTGACATCCCCTTTGGGCCACTACCAACTTTTCCCAGAAGTAGCTACTGACCACCTTCTTACCAGTGCCAATGATGTGACCTCATATCTACAGAAGGGGGAAAGCTAGGGGTAGACAACAGGAAAGGGTCTTAGCATATATATAGAGATTGTACATTTATTTATTACTGTCCATATCCATTAAAGTGACTCTTTATAAGCCAAGTTCTCACTTTCACTTTTTCTTTTTGCCTTTAGGGGTTTCAAGGGGTTTCCCCTCAGCTAGAGCCAACTGTTTCTTCAAATCCAATAGTTTAGCCACCTCTGCAGCAACCTGGTTCTTGTCTGCCTTTTGTGTTTTCAGTTCTCGGACAATGTTGCCCTAAAAGAGGAAAGGGGTGGGGAAATAACAACAGTGAGACCAGAAATGACCTATGTAGGATTCAGCTTTTCCAATCTCCCACAGAGGGCTTAAGCTTCGTACCTGTTTTGTCACTTCATCCATCAGCACTTTTATCTGCTGCAGTCCAACTGTTGTCACAGTCTCTACATCTGTTGGCTTGGGAGATGCTTTTGCCTAGAGAACAAAAGGGTTAACACCTGTCACCGTAACTATCCCCTGACCTTTTTAAAAGACATCTCAGGAATAAAGTGATTACTTTTAACTCCAAGGACTCTTCTAGCTAAGACAGGAAAGAAAAGCTATAAGTGAGGAAGCAGCAGGGCCAAAAGACAGTGATGAGTGAGAACTATTTAGGGACACTAAGGAGATTACACTGTCTAGCTTTCTCACCTGGCCCCCACCAAATCGCTGTTTCAAACTTTCAATCTGGTCATTTTCCAATTTTTGGAACAAGGGACTGACCTGTAAGAAAAGAATTCCAGAATCATTCACTCATTAGGTATTGTCTCTACCATACTATACAGAGGGCCTCTCCAACCCCAATTGCTGATTGAGGAACTGTAAATACTTTAGAAGAAATGTAAGTGTAACAGTAAGCAAATACCTGCTGATTTCAGTAAAGAATCTAGAAAAATCCCAGCAGTCACTATAAAAGCCCAAAGTGTTAACAGCGTCCAGGACTATTTAAACTATTTAATGCTAGGTTGTTGCAAAAGTTTTAGAGGTAAACTTACTTATCATCTTGTGTCAAAGAAAAAATGGCTACCCTGTATTCTCAAAGCTCGCTGCCTGTTAGCATTATGGAGACCAGGTGACCATGGAATTTCTTCAAACATCTACCATATTCTAGTCAGTTTTATGTCCCAAGTTCTGTGTTCTGGCGTGAAGAATGATGAAATATGGGCTACAGATAATACTGGGTTCATAAGCTAATACCAAGCACTTTATATCAGAAACAAGCCTAGGTGCCGAGTGGGCAGGAGTGGGGAAGGGTTTCAGAGACTAGCTATGAGAGGCCTGTGCCCAAAGTAAGTTTTCTGACCCTGCCTAAAAGCCTGCCAGCATGGTAAATGCAAGAATTTTAAAAAGAAACTCATTCTTCCAACCCTCAGACACCTACTGTGCCAATCTGGTGTCCTGCTGGTAAGGTACACAGGAAGTCTGTGGACAGGATACTGCAGGCTAGAGGTGGGAGCTGCAGCTGGGCCGCAATGGTGGTGCTAACTGTGGGCATGTAAGGCTGGAGCATGATGGACAGTAAGGCAGCGATATTCACTGCCAAGCCTGTCACTGTCCCTGCTCGCTGCCTGGGGAAGAAAAGATATTAGTCAGGACCCTCCAAGCCACTTTATTCCTATAGCCAACCCTACCTCTTACCTACCTGTCAGCCTCGCTGCCTTTAATCCGCTTCCAGGGTTCATTCACCTGAATGTACTGGTTGCCATGGCGAGAGATGGTAAGGATACTACGTAAGGCATCCCGAATCCTGGGAAGGGAGGCAGGCCAAGGTATAAGGTCCTTGAGGTATGGGGCTCTCAAATATGCCAGCAGATCACTGGATGAGATGGATGTAGGTTACTTACCGAACCTTCTCTAGCAGCTGGTGATAGTGCTGGAGCTCCAAGGCGACATGGGCCAGCAGGCGCTGATCATCAGAGGTAAGCACCATTTCAGGCACATAACCCCCAAAAAACTTAGACACAAACATCCCAGCTCTTGATGGGAATAGGGAAGGAGAGGGGAGAGAGAAAAGGAGTTATTGTCCAGTATCCTCATAGAGATTTAATTAATTCATAGAGAATGTGGAATTATAAATATGGGATCACCATATTCATAATTCCACATTCTCTCAAAACTGACACCTCCTGGCTCCCTCTAGCTAGAAGGCAAGGCTTAAAGTAGTTCCTTATTCTCTCCCCTAAGAATATGACTGCACATAACAGACATTTCATATATAGATATCCCTTGTTTAAAGAAACCTGATAAAATTAAGCAACTGTTCATTTTATTTTTTAACAAACACTCAGAATGATCAAGTTGAAATATATGTAAACTGCTACCAAATAGTAAGGACTATCCATTAAATGTGGTTAATGACCAAACCTAAAAGACCAGGTAGCCATGGAGGATTTTTTAGATCACAGAATAGCTGAGATAGGGACCAACAATGAAATGTGAGCCTAAAGTAACTCCAAAGAGTATAGCATAAGTCTATCCATACACTAAAATAAATCCTCCCTTCAGCCAAACTTTTCAATGGTCTGCAAGTGAACTTATTTGCTGGAAAAGACATATTTCCAATTCTACAAAGAAAATAACGATCTACAAAACTTCACTTTGTGACCAACTTTGATAAATCACATCTCTACAATTGACTTGCCCCAAGCATACATAGCCTACTATGTTCTAGGAATAGGTCCCAGTAGATAGAAATCCACTTTCCACATTATCCTCCCTATCCCTCCCAGCCTCCTGCCCACTCACCAGCCCTCTTCATATTCCCATCTCTCCCACTTCATGAAGCACAGCTGGCCCCACTCCAGCTCATCTGCTGACCATGAACCCTCACCAAGTCCCACCTGTTGATGAAGTTGCCCAGGTTGTTAAGCAGCTCAGAGTTGTTCTTCAACAACATGTCTGTCCAGGAGAAGGCACTGTCCTGGCCCTCAGGCCGAATGTATAGCAGATAGAAGCGCCAGATGTCAGCAGGGATCCCCGTGTCCTGGGCCATGTCCCCAAACACTCCCACACCCCGGCTCTTAGAGAATTTCCCATC